GGGAGAGTTTGAGTCCCTGCGCAGTTCCTGTTTTGCTGGTTCCAAAGAAAGACAAAACTTGGCGAATGTGTGTTGATAGCCGGGCAATCAACAAGATAACAGTCAAGTACAGGTTTCCCATTCCACGGTTAGAAGATATGCTGGACGTTCTTAGCGGCTCAAGGGTGTTTTCTAAGATAGATTTGCGAAGCGGATACCACCAGATTCGCATACGACCTGGAGACGAATGGAAAACAGCGTTCAAGAGCAAGGACGGATTATTTGAATGGTTGGTGATGCCATTCGGATTGTCAAATGCACCTAGCACTTTCATGCGGCTCATGAATCAGGTTCTTCGACCATTCATTGGTTCTTTTGTCGTTGTTTATTTCGATGACATTTTAATTTATAGTACCACAAAAGAAGAACATCTTGTGCATTTGAGACAAGTTTTAGATGTGTTGAGAGAAAATAAGTTGTATGTGAACCTTAAAAAATGTACTTTCTGCACAAATAAGCTACTGTTCTTGGGTTTTGTTGTTGGTGAGAATGGTATCCAGGTAGATGACGAGAAGATCAAGGCAATCCTTGACTGGCCAGCTCCAAAGACAGTTTCTGAAGTTCGAAGCTTCCATGGCTTGGCCACCTTTTACAGAAGATTTGTGAAGCATTTTAGCACCGTTGCTGCACCTATCACAGAATGTTTGAAGAAGGGCCGGTTCAGCTGGGGAGAGGAGCAAGAGAGAAGCTTTGCAGAAATAAAAGAAAAGCTTTGCACCGCACCGGTTCTAGCTCTTCCAAACTTTGAGAAAGTTTTCGAAGTTCAATGTGATGCCAGCGATGTGGGAGTCGGAGCTGTGCTATCACAAGACAAGCGGCCAATTGCGTTCTTTTCTGAAAAGTTGAGCGATGCACGTCAAAAGTGGAGTACTTATGACCAAGAGTTCTATGCGGTTGTTCGAGCTTTGAAGCAATGGGAGCACTATCTTATCCAGAAGGAATTTGTTTTGTTTACAGATCATCAAGCGTTGAAGTATATTAACAGCCAGAAAAATATTGATAAAATGCATGCTAGATGGATGACTTTTTTGCAGAAATTTTCGTTCGTTATCAAGCATACTTCCGGCAAGACCAATCGTGTGGCAGATGCGCTGAGTAGGAGAGCTTCATTATTAGTCACGCTGACTCAAGAAGTTGTGGGGTTTGAATGTCTGAAGGAATTATATGCAGGTGACGATGACTTCCGAGAAATTTGGATTAAGTGCACTAATCAAGAGCCAATGGCAGATTAGTTTCTCAATAAAGGTTATTTGTTCAAAGGCAACCAGCTGTGTATTCCAATTTCTTCTTTAAGGGAGAAGCTCATTCGGGACTTGCATGGTGGAGGGTTGAGTGGCCACCTAGGCCGTGACAAAACAATTGCATTGATGGAGGAGAGATTTTACTGGCCACAGCTCAAACGTGATGTTGGAACTATTGTGCGCAAGTGCTACATTTGTCAAACTTCGAAGGGGCAGGTACAAAACACTGGATTATATATGCCATTACCAGTTCCTAACGATATTTGGCAGGATCTTGCTATGGATTTTGTCCTCGGATTGCCCCGAACACAAAGGGGAGTGGACTCTGTATTTGTGGTGGTTGATCGGTTCTCAAAAATGGCGCATTTCATAGCCTGCAAAAAGACTGCTGATGCATCAAATATAGCCAAACTGTTTTTCAAGGAGGTTGTTCGCTTGCATGGGGTTCCTACATCCATTACATCTGATCGTGACACCAAGTTCTTGAGTCATTTTTGGATCACTTTGTGGAGACTGTTTGGGACTACTTTGAATCGTAGCAGCACTGCCCATCCCCAAACTGATGGCCAGACTGAGGTTACAAACCGGACATTGGGCAATATGGTGCGAAGCGTCTGTGGAGAGAAGCCGAAACAATGGGATTATGCATTACCGCAGGTGGAGTTTGCATACAATAGTGCAGTCCATAGCGCTACTGGGAAGTCTCCATTTTCCATTGTTTATACTGCTATACCTAACCATGTTGTAGATTTGGTGAAACTGCCTAGAGGCCAGCAAACCAGTATGGCAGCGAAAAATTTGGCTGAGGAAGTGGTAGCCGTTCGAGATGAGGTCAAGCAGAAACTTGAGCAAACAAATGCTAAGTACAAAGCT